GGAAAAGTCCTTTTCCGATGATTTTAATCAAAGTCTGTTTTAGATTTATAACAAGGATATATAACAAGTTGATTGTTTTTGAAAAGAATTTAATACGATATTCTACTTGAACAATGGTAAAAATAAAACCCTATTTTCAATAAAATGATTATTTAAACAGCAGTTTTTAAATATAAAAAAATAAATATAAAAAAAACATAAATTTGAGAATTTTTATTCAAAACTGTGATTGATAGGGGAAAAAAGTATTTAATAAGCATTGTAAATCCAAACTGAGAAGAAACTAAAGCTATTTTAGATTAAAAATATCAATAGTTTGACCAAAGAAGCGTTTGAGGTCTGAAAAGTCACAGAACCATTTTCTTAAAAAATAATGTGATCATTATTTTGCATTGTATTCCTACAACAAGCATTATTCATTAGTAATTTTTAAGAAAATTTCTTTTTCGTATTCTAGAACCTTTTAATTAAGACGCAAAACATATTCAATTACATTTAAAAATATTCCGAGATTTCCCAAAATGGTAAACATTTCTGAAAATTATAATTATTTAAAGTTTTACTTATGAACTTTATTAAGAAAATATTTTTGACATTCCTTGATAAATATTTTTATGACCGAAGTGAGGGATTCCTACGTACTTGTTAACATCATTATTTTTCTGTTCTGAATTGGATGCTGGAGAAAAAAACTATACGTATATAGATTCATTTTAATAAAGGAACATACACATTTTTGAATGGAATGTAAATATTTTTTCATTCTTCTATTTAAAGATTCCAGATATTATAGCCTACATTCCACAATGTAAAAAAAAAATAAGGAATTCCTCCTTTTTGCAACTTAAAATAAAAGAAGCAACATATAAAAATATGTATTTTAATAAAATTTAAAAAAAAAGAATTTCATGATTTACAGGCTCGTGATTTATAGTTTCATCCTTGGAAAATTTTTTTTTTTACCTACATTTTAAAAAGCATTGGAAAATGAAGTCTTACGATTAATCTCATTTGTGGGCCATGGCATTTCAAAATATTTCAAACTTTTTGATATAATCAGATCGAAACATATTAAAATACCGTAAAATATGACATATAATGCGCACCGGCGTACATAATAACGTACACCAACACATTCAAAGTGCCTTTTTTATTTTTTATATATGTTCACCATATTACTACATCCTCTTTTTCAAGAAGAAACCTGAAATATTTGTATGCAATGCTCTTATGCTAGTGTTTCTCAAACTTTCAATATTTGCGACACAATTTTCATCTCCTTGCCCTCTCCCTCCATACAATAACAATGTATTGAATTCAATAAAAATATGCTTTGATGCTAAAGCTACAACTCGACTATAATTGCAAATCGTACCAGTTAACAAAATAAGTGTTAAATTTTGTACATAATATTATATGTGACAAACCCTTTCGGTAACTGGTAATTATTAAACTTGTTCTTAACTTAACATTGTTAAAAAATAATCACAAATACTTTGTATACTAGTGTATTATATCAGTGTAAATTGTGCTTTATTTTTTTATTAAGTCAGAATGTATTTTGTTTTGTTTCCTTTAAGTAAATAAATAATTTTTTTTTGTTTTCTGCGTTTGAATGTGCTCAAACCACCCACCCAGGGTTAGCAAGCCCCTCTTTTTGATTACACCCCACAGTTTGAGAAGCCTTGCCTTATGCTTAGAAGTAATTTATTCGAGGTATATCCTAACTTTTGGGAAAAATTATTCTTCTAAAATTTTAACTGATTTCTATAAGGTATGTTATCTCTTTCAAATAAACAGTATTGTGATATATGGAGTCTATATTTTTCTATGCTCATCTCTTTTTTTATTTTTAAAGCTATCATTTTTATACCCGACGTCAATCTTCTACTCGTAAAATTCGATGTTATTATTTGTGTTAAATGTGAGCATAATACCCCTGATTTTTACGATACGTAAATGAAATAAATAAATAAAAATCGATTGGTATAACCAGATATACAAAGAAGATTTTAATTCTTTTATAGAATTAAGGTGTTTACCTATTTCACCACTTCGATCAGTTTCTCGAAACAAAAAGATTTGCGAATTCAAAAAATGTAGCCAAATGCTGTTTATCATTATTGTTACTGTATTCGTACATGAACGGGAATACTTACCACTATTGGTTGTATATAGAGATTGCAATACCGGTATACCGGGATACAGAATACCTGTGTTTTTAGCCATTTGCATAATTTTGTAATACCAGTATTCAAAAGTTTAAATACCATTTTTTGAGTATTTACTAGAATTTTTTAAAATTGTCTCCGCTATATGTTCAGAGATCGCCGACATAGCAAAATAATGTGCGTTTTTCTTTTTATGTCTCCCTAACGGGCGAAATTAATTAGACTGTGAATATAAAGTTGCATCGTACAACCAAGAACAGTGATAAAATATGTAAATCATCCAAGGAGGTGGGTCAAGACTATCCTATTACAGTTCAGAGTGATACTGCTCACTCGCAGGATTCGTAGTCTAATATTCGCATCAATGAAAACAAGGTTGTAGTTGTGAAGAAAGTGCGTAATATTATGATATTTTTTGAATTGGTGAGTTTGTTATTCACATTGCATTTGCATACATCACAGCAATCAGCTATATCCAACACCATCCGACGAGAAATGGATTTATTTGAAGATGAGGGATTTTGAGGTAAATACTTGGAAAAAGTATATCGCGCATTTCTAACAGTGCCACAAACTAGCTTAGATGCCGGAAGTGCGTTTTCTACAGCTGGTAATTTTTGCACAAAATTACGTTCCAGGCTTAATGACAATATAATTGATGCATTATGTTTTTTTAAGATCACATTTCAACAATTTGTAATATACCACGGACTGTGAATAGTGTGTTTCTTTCTTTTTCTGAAATTTCTACTACCGATACTAAAACCGGTATTGAGATCTAAGAAATACCGAATACCGGTATTGAACTTTTGGTCTGATATTGCAATCCCTAGCTGTATATCGTGGAATGTGGCAATTTGTTTTGATTTCACGAAATTTGTCAACGTTGTAATACTGTAGTACCAAAATTTCTATTACTGTTTATTCTAACAAATATGCAGACATAAATATTAACATAAACATAATTATAGTGTTGCTTAGTTGTAGGTTCTTTCGTCAAATCTGTGCAATCTATAATAAGAAAAAGAGTAATCTACTTATAAATGGTTAGTAATTTATAATAAAAAACTTTAGATGTTCAACGATGAATTATCTGTGATTAATTTCTGAAATAAACACGGGAATATTCAATATAATTGTTAATACATTTCCTTTTCACAAACGTCATTAAGAATTACAAGATTGCCATAGATTTTATCACTTATTAAGAATTGAAAAATATTAAAAAAAATCTGATCATCATATTAGTATGGATTAATATTTATAGAGCTTGCAGTCTAATCTCTACTAATTATAAAGTTAGCTCTTAATGTTAATTTTAAAAGCGAAAAGTTCAAGTTGCTTAAAAAGTAATGAATTATTTCAATTTTTTAACTAATTTTCAAGTTTTAACGTAACCTACACTCCGAAATTAGAAAAACTACTTGTGGCTCATCTAAGAAGGAAGTGATTAATCAGAAACTTCGGATATTTTGTTTACTGGTAGACCTTCATGATAAAATTTTTCTGTTAACATTGTATATTGTTCGTTATATTTTATAAATATTTAAACCGGCTTACGCTAATTTGTGACATTATCTTTTGTAACAAGAATTTTAATCATCAGTTATTGCATATATTGTTATTCCCATCATTCTTTCTTTTTTCCGTATTGATAGAAATGTTCTGATTAATGCCGACTACCATAAAATTGTGAATTTTGCCAAAAATTGACAATTTTTATGACTTTATTTTACAGGCCATCTTATTAGCTTTATAAAAATACTAAGTTTATTATTTTCCGATAATTAGAACAAAAACTACAAGTGTTTTAGTAAAAACAAATGCTATTACTTTAAGCAAGATATCATACTCTAAAACGCGTTTTACTCGAAATGTGTGTTTTTTTTTTCAAAGGGGCAAGCGATTGCTAAAAATGTTTTGAAAATAATTAACTGAAATTTTTTGTGTATGTTCTGTATAACAGTAGAAATGTTTTAACCTTTAGATTTATCAATTACTGTTTTATTACAAAACGTACAGCCCCTTATGTGAATATAATAACATTTTTTTCAAACAATTTCATGTATTAACACAAAGATAAAGTGCTGTAGTTTTTGAAAAAACTAAAATATCTCTTATCCTGAAGGTCATTTCAAAAATGAATACCATAGCAACACATCAAAATTTTAAAAAAATGAAAATTTGTTTATAAACATTTGGTACAGAATGGGCCGCGTTTATATTATTTTTGTCAATTTTCACCCATTTTTTTTCCATTTTAGTAGTAATAATTTCTTTTTCTCTTCTTAATTTTAGCATATTTTTCTTAAAATGTACTAAACAAATCGAAAAACAACAAAAAACAAATCCCCATAACTATATTTTTTTGAAAAAAAGTTGTCGCAAGTCGGATACCTTAATATTATTAACTTCTGACTCTTCGTATCAGAATATCAGAAGTAATAGGATAACAATAGTATGAACATAATTTATTCACTACATGGCTAATAATAGTAAGTATACATATGTAAATTATTGTGAGCATCCCATCCGGTATAGTGACGCTGGCTGCTGTCCCACTGAAAATGGGTTCGAATCCAGGGATTGTATAGTGCTTGTGCGGCCTACACTTGACGTCTGTGGGCAATTGGACCGCGAAGCGATCTTCCATCCAATATCTGATAGTTTTTTGGTGCCTGGCGAATGTGATAATCCTGTGTGGATAGGAAGCTACGTGATTGGTGGATCGAACGAGGAAAGGGGGAGTGGCTTAATGATGCTTGCAGACAGAGTCCGAGAAAAGTGAGACCTGAAGCTGATATGAGTGATTGCTTTGCTATGAATAATTTCCCACACCGAGAATTGAACCAGGGGTTTCTAGGTTAGAGCCAGGTGTCCTAACCTCTAGACCACGTGGGAGTGCCTGTATGGCAGGGGAGTACTCTTTAAATAGCCGTCGAGCCCAAAGTGTTCTCGTAAGGTTGGGTAAAGGAGATGAAAAGGGAGACCTCTGACCACACCCTAGGGTATTCTCCCTCTCTTTTTCACGATGAGTCTCGTAGGCCTTGATCTGACATCGTTAGTCAGGTGGCATTAGCAAATACAACAACACAAAGTGTTTAACTTTAAAAAAAATCCTTTAATAAACTTGCTACTTGATACCTTTTCAAGACTTATTAGCATAATGAAGTAATTTATCAATGCGAAATTAGCGTTTGGGGCATTTTTGCGACAAAAATCGGTTCACGAGTTTCCAAAAATACCTGTGTATCTAAGAACAAATGTAAAAACCACCAAGATCTTTTATATTTTAGGTTCTTATCTGTTTCTTAGAAACATGGAAATTATAGACTATAAGCAATATAATATTTTGTAATAATGTATAGCCTAATGGTAATGTTTACGTAGATAATTTTATCAATTAGTTTTTTGTTCAAAGGAATTGTTTTTCTTTTCATCAGGAAAGATAAAATAAGAGAGTAAAATTTATCATTATTCATCGAACATAATTACTTTTTTAATGCATTTAAATAACTTGTATCGATTATTGTCATACAGATTTGAACTTCGTAAGCATTCTTTAAAGAACATTTCTAGAAAAGTTGTTGTAGTTTTTTTTTATACTTATGAAATTTCCATCCCTCTTTCGATATGCATCATATCAATTTAACAAAACTAACAATAACCATTATTGTTCTGTTAATGCCCTTCTTTTTTTAAACATTTTTCATGTAAGAAAATGAATATTAAGTTAATTGTTTATATCGAATTAAATTAATTTATGAATTCAAAAGCAAAAAGCATTATCATACCTAAGTAATATGCTCTAAAAATAATTACTGAAAAACACTCAAATTTATCTGAAAGCCTGCATATATTCGATGTTTTGTTGTCTATTAAGGGAATGTTTTGCTGTTGTTGCTCATCCCACACTTGTGATCAACAGTAACATCAGACTGAGTCTCACGAAATTTGTCGTGGAAAGGGGACAAGATAATTGCTGTTGTTTTAGCCTCAGCTTTGAGCGCCATGCAGGTGATAGTACAATATCACTCTATTCCACCTGAAATTTGAGGGGTCCACCCCTCTTTTAACATAGCACCAATCCATGCGGCAAAAGCATTATATGCATGACTTTTGCTTTGAATTCATTTATTGTTGAAAGTAAAGTAAGATCGTAACGGTCTAATCGCATGAACTCAGTGCATTCATTTTCTTTCCACCCACCCACACACTGACACGCGCATGCACAGACACACACGCACACACACACACGCATGCCCAGACACATACACATGCACTGACACACGCACATACACACATGCACAGACACACGCACACACACATGCACAGACACACACGCACACACATTTAGATATCAATCAATATATTCCCACTACTAGTTTAAATAATATTCAGTGTTTAAAATTAGTTTTACAATTTTTGCACAAAATTTGATATCACACGTCATAACGTTTGAATTAACCAATCTTTGAGTCACTCATTACGACCACCGATCCTTTAAAAACTATTCTCTCTAAACAAAGCATTAGTTTTTCGACTTCACGTTCAGACAATTTATTAAAAGTATTGATACTATCACCCCTACTGAATAACAATTTCTAGTTCATTCGCTTATATTCCCTCTTATGAAGCAATTCAAACTTCTATTGGTCGTTCTCTTCTCCATTCAGCGTTCTTTATTGAAATATAAATTCACATTGTTATTCTGTATGGAAAACCGCATTTATTGCTATTAGTATCATGATGCCCTGTATGATAAGGCGACTAGTGCACAAACGAGGAAACAATGTTAAAACAGGCATATTCACTGATAATATTTTAGAAGTAGGAGATTATTAACTTATACAATTTCTATGCAATAGTTAAGCTACCATTGATTTGGAATAGAGAAAAGCACTTTTGTTTTAGTTATGGGATGGATGTTTGTATAGAACTGTTGAAGCTATATGCAGCTGCTTAATAATGATCCTCTGTGAGATTGGTTATTTATTGCAGATTTTATACGCATTTTCTAATCAATATGCGTATACATTAAGTTATATATTGACAATTATAGTGATATTTTAATTACTACTCACAATAGTAACATTTCAGCAGCTAGAAATATAAATCTGCCGTCATGCAATTTTAACAAAATCAATGCTATTGATGTATTGCGCCATTGCAATACGTATTTTTCTTCTTGAAAACTTCCTTACTGAACAAAATTAGTGTATTTTGTTCGTTAATTAAGAACTTATATGTTAAACACTATCAAACTGCATCAATCACATTAAACGTATTTACAGTGAAAGTCGTTAACATGAAACTAAGGTGATTGAAATATATTTGCGTGTTAAAGGGTATTACATGGGAAAAATCATATATTCAACAAAATCTAATTTATTAGAGTACATTTTATTTCCATAGATATGTAATATGCATGTATTTAAAAATTCAACAGAAAAAAATGATTCGCAAGAGCTTAATGAAATTTAATACAAAATCAAGAAATACAAAAGTCTTATAGATTTCCGTTTTCGTCTTCATTTGGATCCTCAGCCTTAAAAATATCAGTCTTCATTTTAAGCGAAATTGCGGTCTTTTATATCAGTTTTCTATTGTTTTTGGCCACGTGTTCTGAGCTCAGAAGTGTAAAGGGAAAAATCCAAACATCATCGGTAATCACATAGATGCTCGAATGTTTAATTTTTTACTTTATTTTACAAACTAGCTTTTACCCACGGTCCGCTCGCGTTGATGTTTTTAAATAACTGTTAAAGTCGTAATCATTATCATTAGAAAGTAAATAATATAATATGGTACAACATCCATAACCGATTTTCATTTGCGACACTGCATAATATTCCGAATCTACGTCATTATGAAGATGCACTCTCATATTCGTTTTCAGACTGAATTTTTTCAAATTTTGCCCATAAGCTTGATGAATTAATAGAGACTCTGATTTCATCTTCCTCCTATGATATCTGTACTATCTCGTAAATCTTGAAGAGTCCGATTTAATGCTTCAATAGCTTTCTTGTGAGACATCGTCTTTCATCCCACACTAAAAGTTTACATTGTCGAAGCATCCTGCTCGAGAGCTACTTTTGCTGAAATAGTAGATGGGCGAATCTTCATGCGCAATATTCAACGGTAATTTTAAAAACGGAATGTACAGTACGACCGCCGGTCAGTAGTGTCGCGGCTATAGCGAAAGAAGCGACAGCAACTCTATCCTCTGTTTTTTTCTGACGGGCATCAATAAAAGTTTATCAAGTGTTTTCCGATTCACTTTAGGGTGTCGAAAAAGAGTGCATCGCTCCGGATTCTATTTGCGTAATCTTGCATGAAAACGGACTTTGTTCCGGATTAATTGAGGATAAATTCTGTTGACTTGATGTTGTAATGCTATAAAATCGTAGTTTAATTCTTAAGCATCAATTTCGACCGTCCTGACACTCTAGGATGATATCCTAAATCATGCTACTTCTCATAACATCTGAAAACTTATTGCTGTTTCTTGTAGATAATATGTATGAAAGACATATTTTGTCTTGCTGAATTATCATAAAATATCTTCCGTCATTGATCTCTTTGTACTTATTCCAAAGGTTTGAGGATTAGAAAAGCCGAAGATGTGAAATAATCGCATATTACTTAATGTGCGACTAGTATATATTCGGCGAGTGACATTACTTTCTTCTCTGTAATATCTAGATATATCTTCAAAGTAATATCCTCCATTCAAAATATCTAGTTTAGTATAAGTGAAAAGATTTTTATCCAAATATAGAATTGTACATAAGTTAAAAATTCAAAGTAATAATATCCGATAAATCAAACTTTTTGTAGCTAATGAATTAATATTCCTATAAATATTCAATATCACGCGCTGAATTCATACAATAATTTCGTTCCCTCCTTAAAAGTGGAAATTGTCATTAAAATGTGAGAGTCGCAAGAGAACTTCTTAGCCAACTTAGCTGATATTTCTCATAGTTGAGTTTGATATTTAACAAACTGTAAGTAATAACGTTAGAATGCTTATAATGAGAAAACCTTTAAGAATTCTTTATAAGTGTTAATTCACTATGATACTCAGTTATTTGTTACAAATGTGAAAATTTTATTAAAGTATTATTGACCGAATGCATAATTTTGCGCCAACGGCGGATAACTAACGTCCCACGGTTTACCTCGTAGTTCCCTTCCCGTAGGAATATTGGTACAAAATATAACGCTATGTTACTCTTATGTAACTAGCTTTCCATTGTGAAAGAATTTTAAAATCGCACCACCTGTTTCTGAATTAGCCGTGGAACAGACAGACAGACAGACAGACAGAAATTTTAAAGGGATTTTTATGTAAGTACCGTATATACACTTGCAGTTAGTAAAAGTTGCTAATTTGAAATTACAAACAGACACTTCAATTTTATTTATTATATAGATGTCACACTACAATAGCACCTATAACATTTGTACGTACTCTCCAATATTTTCTACAATTGAATTAAACTATGTGAAGGGCACACGACCAAATGTTAAACGGTCTTAGGCTGACCAGAGTCACATAGAGTACAGTCCAGTGATTTTGCGATACCAATTCTGTAGAGATTAGATTTCAGACAGTCACCAACATAAAAAGTCTAAAATAGACAGTAGCTTTTCTGAACCCCAGGGATCCAGGACATGTCCTTGTTCAAGATTTCCCAGTTCTTGTCAGCTGACATCTTCGCAACTTCAGTTTTAAAACTCTACTTAAAGAGCATATTAGAAAAGCGCCTTATGAAATTGATGGTTGAAATCCTCTCGGGTCTTTCGATCAATAGGTCTCCTTTCTTAGAAAGAAAGTCAGCATGCTCATTCCCAACAACTTAATCGAATGAGCCGGTCACTGAAAATTTTAA